GACGACCCCCGTGGGACCGATGCACCACCACGAACAAACACCGCGGTGGTGGCGGTTGTGGTGGTGGTGGCGGGGAAAGCTCACTGTGCTGATTAGAGCGACGGACGTTACTCATCGAAATTACCACAGCGCGCTAACATTGAACAACACAATCCAATCCGATGAATTAAAATTATGTTGCACCCATCCCCCACCACAACCGCCCCAACCACCCCATCTTTGTCTTCCCAGTGCTGATGTTTACACACTGCACCTGGTACTCGTTTCAGGCTGAGCCGACCTAAGGGAGGCCCAGGGCCCCAGCGGTGACTATGCTAACCACCTGTGTTAGGCGTGGCCGGGAATTAAACTCATGTTGCTGTATTATTGGTGCAGTGTGCAAACCACTGTCACTGCTCCGCATACACACACACTCAGGTATACACGTACCTATAGAGACAAGACAAAGATCCCATGTATAGCCTTAACAGATTGTTGGGGCAAGTTCTGTTAGCGAGCACCTATGAAGGCCGGAACGGCACACGAGGAGGTGGGGTGGCCAGCACCACGCCCAGCCACCTTTGTCTCCCTAGTGGCGACGTTTACTCACTGCACCACGTACTCATTTGAGGCTAAGTCGACCTAGGGGAGGCCCAGGGACCGGTTCAGATAATTGTCACTGGTGTTGGCCGTGAGCGGGAATGAAACTCGGGTCGCCGGATTCGTAGCGCAGCGCGCTAACCTTTACACCACCGTTCCCCACTGTCAAACACACAAACACACACGACGCGCGCCTGGCTGGCGACCGACCGCCGGCCAGACCCAAACCCTGCCCTCTTGCTCTCTTCCTGCAACGCGAGGCAATTGCACAAGCCTTGAGCAGCGAACACACGCTCTCATCAACACAGCCATTGTTCGGCGGCAAACACGCAACACCAGGGTCGCGTTTGTCCTCATGACAGCAGCCAGGCGTGTACACACGTGTGTGTACACGCACGCACACGTGTACACACACGTGTGCGTGCGTGTGAGAGCGGTTAGCGCGCTGCGCTACAAATCTGGCGACCGGAGGTCGATTCCCCGCTCACGGCCAACACCAGTGACGATTATCTGAACCGGTCCCTGGGCCTCCCCTAGGTCGACTCAGCCTCGAATGAGTACCTGGTGCGATGTGTGAACTTTGCTACTCGGAAGACAAAGGTGACTGGGCGTGGTTCTCACCACCCACCCCCTCGTGCACCGTGCCAGCCTTTATAGGTGCTCACGAACAGGACTGGCCCTAAAAGTCTGGAAAGTCTGTCTGTTCTTACAGCAGCTGGCATGACGAGAAGGCACGTACACACACACGCGCATGCGTGTGTGCTGCCGTGCATGCAATGGTGTGCGTGTGTGTGATGCAGTGGTTAGCGCACTGCGCTACAAACCCTGCGACCTGAATTGAATGCACCGCTATAGCCAACATCGGTGGCGAATTACATCACAACTCCCCCACGTCAACTCCGGCTTAAATAAGTACCTGGTGTTGCATGTAAACATCAGTGGTGGGGAGACAAAGGTGGCCAGGCATGGTGCTTACTCCACCTCCTATATCATGCCGGCTTTAAATAGGTGTTCGCTAATAGTACTTGCCCCAACCGTCTGTGAAGGGATATATATGAGATCTTTGTCTTTGCATGGGTGTGCGTGCGGCACTGTGTATTCTGCATTAGTGTGTACAGTTGTGTATGCGTGTATCCTTCGTGTAGAGTTTGAGAATGTGTGTGCGTGTAAGAATGAGCGTGTGCGAGTGTATGTATGTAATTAAATTAGTATACGCAAAGGGCTGGTAACCCCTCCACATTTTCCATGACATCGAATAATCACGGTGAAAACATCCAAAAAATGCCTTTGCCACAGATCCCAAGGGGACAGGCACATGAGGCTGCCAATCAAAGTCAGTCATTCCATAACACCTAGGTCTATCCCGTGACCTCCTGCCAGCGAGTTTTCTTCAATTAACGAGACCTCAAGGTACACCTTGCCTGGCACAAGCGCCATGGTGACGTCATCACCACTTAGCGGCGAATGGCGGGTGCTGTTTGCATGGAGAGCTAAGATGCACGTGTGAACACGAGTGCGTTTGTTTGTGCACAGCAATCTACGAAGAGGCTGTATGCATGAATGGGCACCCATGTGGGTGGGTGTGTGTAGTGGTTAGCGTGCTGCGCTACGAACCCGGCAGCCCGAGTTTGATTTCCATTCACGGCCGACACCAGTGACGATTATCTGAACTGGCCCTGGGCCTCCCCTAGGTCGACTCGGTCCCAAATGAGTACATGGTGCGTGGTGTAAACAGACGGGCGTGGTGCTGGCCACCCACCCCCTTTGTGTGCCGTTTTGGCCTTCATTAGGTGTTTGCTAACAGCACTTGCCCCAACAGTCTGCTAAGGCTATACGGGGGATCTTTGTCTTTGTTTTGTGTGCCAAGGTATTTTCCTACTGCAGAGGTAAGATTCCACCTGATGGTTTGGCGCTTCCCCTAAACAACGTCATACGAACGGCGCCCATTGCTACGGGACTACCATGAGCGAGCAAGACAGCAAGTCCAGAAAAACCGCGGGAAAGCCAAGAGAAGACATTGCTTTCTCCCCGCGTTCTGTTCCGTCACTTTACACCGCATGCTTGCAGCCTTAATCCTGACGGGGCGCGCGGGCCCTTCTAATGTTCCGTCCTCAAAACAGGTTTGCGCTTAAATTCACGGAAAACGAGAGCACGGTTCCGTAGTGCGGTCGTTTATTAAGCAAAGTTTGTAGCCACGTGACCCATCAAGCGACAAGACAGCCTGTGACCTGCTTTGAAAGCCACTGTTGGTTGGTTCCACCGACAACAAACGTAGGACAGTACGACGTCGCATATCTGACCGTCACATATCCACCCTGACCAATAAGCCGCCCCCTCTCACCCAGCGGGGTGCAGTGTTTGTGCGCGATAGGGGGTAAACAGTCATTTTCTCGAAGACGTTCATTCACGTCGTCCCTGGGTGACCTCTTCACGCACACACGGCACCGTGTTCTCAATATCGCAAGCTTTCGCTCACTTCTGAAGCACAGCGCAAGCATTTCCCCCCTCCATGTCAGAAGCGGCTTGCGCTTTCCTTGCCCAGTAACCTGCGCATGCACGGTGGCGGACGCAGTCAACCAGCGAGTCGGATATGCGACATTTGTAAAGGAAGGGCCTCATGCGACAAACTATCAGCCATGCACCAGCGCGCGGGGAGTATGCCACGTGTGTGTATGTGTGTAGCGTCCTGTGAAACTCGCAGGCTGACTGCGTGTGAGCGTGCTTATGTGCCTGCATGTGTGTGTGCATAGCACTGTGTGGGAAGCAGTGGCTCAGCGGTTAGCACACTGCGCTACAACACCCTGCGACTGGAGTTTGATTCCCGCTCATGACCAATAAACAGTGGTGAATATTTGAACCGGTCCTGGGCCTCCCCTAAGTCACTTTGGCTTAAAGGAGTACCTGGTGCGGTGGAAAACACACCACCATGGGGGGAGACAAAGACGGCCGGGCATAGTGTTGGCCACCCACCCCCCTCGCATGCCAGTGCCAGTCTTCAATGGTGCTTGCCAACATAATTTTTCTGTTAAAGGCTATATGGGGGGGGGGGGGGGGGTCTTTGACTTTTATTTGTGTTTGTATAGCATTGTGGAGAGAGATGGGAACAGTAATGTAGTGGTTAGTGCACTACACTGTGAACCCGGTGTACTCAACTCGATTTCCAGGCCATGACTAACCAGAATGGTGCTTATCTGATTGGTCCTGGTTCTCCCCTAGGTCAACTCAGTCTTAAATGAGTAGTTGATGCCCTGTGTTAACATCAGCACTGGCCAGGTATGGTTCCTGACCACACCAGCGCATGGTGTGCTGTGCCTGCCTCAATAGATGCTCGCAAACAGTGCTTGCCCCAACAGTCTACATGAGCTTTATGGGTGGTCTTTGTCATTGTGCGTTGCAGTACTGTTACACTCACAGACTGACCTTGTGTGACAGTGGTGTGTGCGCATTTGTGTGCATATGTGTGTGTGTGTGTATCAGTGCTATGCATTTCAAGGGCAGGTTGTACGTGGCAGTGGTTTGTGTGTGCATGCGTACGTGTGAGTGTGAGCGCAGGCTGTATGTAGCTTGCCGTCGTGGTGTGTTGCTTTGGAACTGCTTTGCGTGTTAAGTTTTTTGTCCTTCCCCCGCACATCCGATTAGCACGGTTGGCTACGTATGGTACGAAAGAAGTTCAACATACATATGTGTGTCTGTCTGTAAGGAGTTTCTAGTTTTTTTTATTGCGTTGTTTGTCTTGGGGCCCTAAAAATAGATGACCATTGATCACCACCACTACCACCTCCTCCGAGGCAGTGGGTGGGCTTGCTATTTGCGATGTTGGCTTTAAGTGTATTCACTTTAACGGCACATTGTGAACTAGAAAATGCCATGTTTTTGTGTGTATGTTGTCTTGTTGCGAGTAATAAAGTGCACATGTGCTCGCGTGTGTATGTGGGGGTCGACTCAGCCTCAAATGAGCACCTGGTGCAGTACGTAAACATCACCGCTAGGGAGACAAAGGCGGCTGGGAGTGATGCTGGCCACCCACCCTCCTCGTATGCCGTGATCGGCCTTCATAAGGTGCTCGCAAACAGCACTTGCCCCAAAGGTCTGTTAAGGCTATATGGGGGGGATCTTTGTCTTTTGCATGTGTGTGTAGCCAGGAGCGGTGACGCAGTAGTTAGCACACTGCGCTACGAACCCGGCAACCCAAGTTCGATTCCCACTAATGGAAAACACCAGTGACAATTATCTGAGCCGGCCCCAAGCCTTCCGTAGAACAGCCGTTGGCAACCTTCAGTTCCGGAGCCGCATGCGGCTCTTTCTAGGACTGGTTCGTGACACGGTTGGCTACGTTACGGTGTGAAACAAGTTCAGTGTACGCACACACATACATACGTGAAGGAAAAGCGTGGCGAGCGGGCGCGCAGGTGTAAACTCACGGGCTGGCCGGCGGGCGCGCGGAACACGTGGCAGGAGGTGTGCGAGTCGGGGTTGTCGGGCTGCGTGCGCACCAGGTACGCGAAGCTGCCCGGCTGCCGGCTGCAGTGCACGAAGCGGGAGATGTGCGCCGCACGCTGCTCGAAGATGAAGATGGAGCTGTTGCTCTGGCTGCCGGCCGGCACGCACCGCACCAGCGGCGGGCACACGTACAGCACCACCTGCGGGAAGGAAACGACGTTCGTGAACTGTGAGTTTTCAACGCATCCCCCCCCCCCACCCCCCCACCACCCCCATAGTGCGTAAACGGTACGCTGGTGCAGAACTAGGATTACTATTTTTTATTTTACCAGGGAAGGCCCACTGAGCTATGTAGATTTTTTCATAAACGACCTGGCCACAAATGATAGCTCAACGAAGTGGATTATCGCGTGGAAATGTAAAGCAGCAAAATACTCTGAACGCGTGATGTCGATTCTAAATGTGGAGGGGAAAACCGGAGGACCCGGGAGAAATATCCATGCCACCACAAGAACATACAAACTCCTAATATACAGGCGTCAGGGTCTGGATAAAACCCACAACCTCCTGTATACCAGGCGAGGGAGCTAACATCTCGCCAAACAGAGAAACGAACGGTAGCTGCGGGCGTGTTTTTTTATGTGGGTAACGGTGTGAGTCTCTAGGTGAGTGAGCCTATGGTGGTGAGAGGGGAGAGGGTAGGAGAATGTTTGGAGGGGAGTAGAGTGAGATGAGAGTGGAGAGGTAGGCAGGTTGGTGGAGATGGAGGCGTGAGATCCTGCAGACGTGAGACACGTGCGATGAGCTCAGGACCATTTTTAACCTCCACCACACTCCCTCTCTATTCTCCCAACTACAATGGCTCCCTGTCTACTTTCGCTGTGTTAAAATTCCTCACTCTCGTCTATAAATACCTCCATGGTCTTACCCAATCTTATCTTGCTTCTTTCATATCTTACGATGTCCCATTCTGTCCTCTACACTCCCAAGCTCCACTGTCCCTCTCTGTGCCTCCAAGGTTTTGCATGCCCCTTTGCCAGTGCAATGCCATCGTCCAGTCATCGCACACACAAACTGGAGTCTTTGCCGAGAGTGAACTTTTTCCCTCTGTATGTATAAGGCTAGAGAAGGGCAGGAGGTGGCAGGGAAAGAGAAGGAGGGAGTGGTGGGGTCATACAAATATTGTTGCCCTTGCCCGTACTGTAACATCAACATGGATCCATGTTACCAGGTGGCCATGTAGTGTGGGCTCTGGTCTGTGTTGGCATTCGCAGTGTAGCGATGAGCCCGCTTGCAGAATGCTTGTGCACAGCAGTGGCAGTGTGTGTGATAAGATGCTGTGGTTGAGGGTCTTATGGGTTTACAAAGCCAACACACACCGACTAAAATCCGTCTTCTTCTTCCTCCTCCTCCTAGTACTTTGCCCACTAATGCAGAGTGTGCCTTCCTGTTCGTCCTTCTCCACTACCTGTCCTGGTTCACAACCTCCATGGTTCACCGTCCTTCACATCCCGGTTCACCTCTTCAATCCACCTCTACCTAGACCTGCCTCTCGGTCTCCACCCTCGTGCTTCCACGTTCACCACCTTCGTTCACCAAAAGGCGTTTTTTCCTATCTGCTTCCCGCCTGAGTCGCCTTCTCTCAGCTAGTCTGAGATGAGCATCACTCTTGCCTTGTTCCATATCTAGATATTTCTGATCCAAAACAAAAACAGTCTAAAATTCTAATTCTAATTACCCGAGTTGCCCAGGTTACTCAGCAGGTCGGATCGCTGAGCACTGCTGAGATCCTGGGATCGAATTCTGTTTTTGGCCCATTCGTGATTAAAACCAGGTTCTCAAGTGTCTTGAGTTGATGGTCTCAGTCCGATCACGAATAACTGCAGAAACAATATCTACCGTATTGTTGGGTTTTAAATACGGAAACATTTAATTACACTGAGAAAATCCTCTCCAGTTTAACTGCTACGTGATGATCATCTCAACATTGCTCAGTGCGTGCAAAAGTTGCCGGGCCAATCGTGTGGATTTAAAGTCACTCGAATCGATCTTGGAAGTAGTTCTGTGCGATAAACTTTCACGGGCTGTTCTGGAATGCACAAAGGGTAATGCGCCACTCTGCTTGAGTTCCAAATGGACGTTTTCATTTCACGACACGATGCAGATAGGAGTTAGAACATAATTTGGGGTGAAAAAAAGGAGACTAATATATTTTTTAAACCAGATCTCTAATGAACCGAAGCAATGGAATTCTACGTATGGCAGGCATGACTTACATGAGACATAATGTATGACAACGCCTTTGCGCAATCCAGCGTGTGTGTGTATGGGCGTACTTGCTAATGAACAGACCGAGTTGGACACTCGGTAAGTAATGGGTCCATTATGACAGCTGTGAATGAATCTACAACCTCCCACAGTGAACAGGAGGAACATTTGGGCATATACAGGGAATGCTCATGTATCCATATGCGAATTTAATATATTTTCCCGTTAATTCCACTCCTTGATTCCTCAACCCATGTTGAGGACTCTACCAGATTGATTGTATCAGCTCATCAAGTGTGTTCAACCACCACTCACCCTCCCACTCTCCCACTCGCCCACTCATTGATTGATTCACTCACTCACCCTCCCACTCAACCGCCACACTGCAGCTCACAGTACATCTCTTTCTGCTTCTTCCCTACCACCGCTCGACTGCAATTCCCTCCCATCGTCTCTTTTTGCACGTTATTACAACCTTGCTCAATTCAATAAACGTATTCATTTGCATTAGCTACACTGTCAATAGTGCTGCCTGATGCTGACCTGAACTGCCACACCACAACCCAAGCCGACAACATCTGACAGTCCCAGACATAGCTTCCCATTCAAGCGCTGCACAAGCCGAGGCTCTACCCCCGCTCACTGCACAGGTTTTCGCCATCGTTCTTCAAGCCTCTCCGCTGTGTTTTCTGGCCGTGTGCGAGGCGGCCCTCACACGGACGACGTCTTATCAATGAAAGTGGTCCCCTCCTCTGACAATTAGAGAAGAGCACTGCCCTATTGCCTCAGCAGGCCGTTTGGGGTCAAGTGCTGTTAGCGAGTGGCTACTTCTTCTTTCGTACGACTGATGTAGATGCAGAACAACAACTGCAATTTCACATTCGTGTCAGGAGCAGTGCAGTGTATCGCTGTGATGTCTCCTTCGTATTTGTGTTATTGGGCATTGCGCCACTGTATGTTGTATGGTCTGTTCTGGATGACCACAGTCGCACAATGCAGAGTTTTTAATTTTTCCATTTGTGTATCAGGTATCCGCATCTGCCATGGTTTGTAAAGATGCTGTTTAGGGTGGACCATGAGCTTTGTGTAAGATCAAAACCAGGGATTTCTGCGTTGGGTCTTTCACAAGCTGTTTGTTTGCGAGTTCTTTTGAACTCCAGCTCTCCAAGCTTCACTGGGGTTGAACTCGCATCATTGCGTGCCGACCGGCATGGAGCAGCGATCGAATTAAGATTCGTAAAACAAAATCTCGTAGCACGTGTGAAGCAAAACCGAAATTGAGTTCCCCAAGAAGCTCCGAGCACGGCGTCTGTCTTTTCGCTACACATGCTGGGCACTTCTACAGGAGATAAAACGTCGGACCTCGTGCTGGACAACAACACGGTACACAACCCCCGAGTACACACGCGAGAGCTGTGCAGGCACAAACCGGCTTATCTTTCCGAGATCCAATTATATTGAGCGAGCTAGGGGCGCTTTCATCCAAGCTAGGGTTGCTGCGATATGTTTGCAATTATTATAAGACTCAGGCTTATGTTTAGTGAATCGCAGTTGACGATCTCTTAATAATTTGTATGGATAATGGAAGTACAGTAATGCACCAAAAATAATACGATAATTCTAAACATAAAGCTACAAGACACTTACATCCCGATAATCGTGGACATTAAAATTTAATGGCGAAAATCTATATTGCGGCGATCGAGGTCATAGGTCATGTGATGATTGGCAAAGCTCAGGCTCCCCAGGGGTGAAATGTGCGCCCACCAGAACAGCTGAGGGTCACGTGTTTTCAACGGCTGGCACTGACAAAGCAGGGTAACACAGACGCACGCTCTGATACAGCGGTTGGAATTGGCAGTAGGATACTTTTTCGGACATGATCTCATTACTCAGGGACGTGGGTGGTGGGTGGCGTGGTTAGCGCCCTTTGCTATTCGAACCCAGTGAACTGGGTTCGATTTCTGACACGCTCTGATCTGGCGGTTAAAAGTTCGCGGTCGTATTTTTATTTTAACAATAGCCTGTACACGTGATTAAAAGCCTTTGACCAAATCATGCGAAACACGCCAAATCCCGTCAAACCTCATGAGCAAGCTAAGCCGGGTAGGGGCCTGGATAGTGCTTGGCTTGGCGACCACCCTGCACAATAACATGGTGTTAAGTGGTAAAGTACAGTTGTCAAATAACCCTCACTGCACGCACGATGTGGATTAGATAGGAGGCACCTCATCCAGTAGCGGATCAATCAAGGGGGCTGTAGATGAACCACATGCAGTACGTAGAACTGGAGGTTCAGTGCAGCCTCTTGTCCCATTGCTCAATGAGCTTTGACGTGAAGCCACGCATGCCTTAGCTTGTCTCTCCGGGCCAAATGCGGTTGCACTGAAATGCTGTGAAATTTTATACTTTTAAAAGTCCTGTCCTGGCAATGGAGGATGCTAAAAATCATGGGTGGGGAACCTTTCCTTTAAAGAGGACTCGAACCACCAGACTGACGGTTTCGTCTCACTCACCCTGAGTTCAACCACCATAAGACAGGTCGCAACAACACACACACTCACCCACTCACTCACCACACTGCAGGTCACAACACATTCACTCACCCATCCGTTCACTCCACTTCTCTCTCTGCTTCTTCCCTTGCAGTTCAACTTTAGAATTCCCTCCCATCACCACCTCTTTTCCTAAAGTCCTCAAAATAACCGAGCTCACTTCAAGTTACGTACCGACTCCTCTCTATTACACCTTCAACAGTGCTGTTTGTCGCCGGCTGTGTTGTTGTTTGGGCCTGTGCTCAGTAACTGATTTTTTTTAAAACAGGACTTCCAAGTACTTTGTGCAGCGCAATACATAAACACACGCACACACACCTTACCAGTTGCGTCACCGCAAGAGGCCCGTGGAATGACACCACAGAAGTGCCCGAGTGACGAAACCAGAAACACTGTGTCCTTTTCCACGTCCAAAATACCCCCCCCACCCCACCACTCTAGCACTTGATTATAGTTCGACTAAGATGATAGCAGTGATATACTGTATACACAACAACACAACCTCAAGGCATTCGTCAATAACGCCATGGCCGTAAAAATAAAAAATATATATAACATGCAACGATTCGGGCAATGTCCCTTCTGCACAGAGGTAGTGACGTATGTACGTATGTCAAATGTGCGCGAGGCCGCTGGCCGTGTGAAATAAAGTCGCGGGTTGCATTTGGCCCTTGGGCTTAGCCTCCTCCTCGTCCCTCCTGTAAAGCAGAACGTCGCATATCCGACCGTCCAATATCCCGCCCGGACCAATTATCCACCCACACACCCAGCGTAGTACTTGTGCACGGTTGTGCAAATGTCATTTTAAAATATATATAGATATTCGCAATTATGGACTATACACACTGGTCAATGTTCTTAATCTCACGTACATTACCTTGCTTCTGAAACAAAATGAAGCATTTTCCTTTCTTTAAAGAAGTTTATGCTTTACTTTGGACAGGCATGTATTTGTTGTGATTTGTATAGCTGTCATGTTATACAGATGTTCACACATTGGACCTTTTCACATAACCCCACCTATAACCTAGCTCAACCGGCCATTCTGATGAGATGTTTTACTGTACTTTGTACATGAATTGAGTAGCAGCTAAAAAATATATTTGTCCAAGTCTTTAAATCCAGCCGCTGTATCCCACCCGCGCACTCGGGAGAAATGTTGCAGTTGACATGAGCTCGTTAACATGGACAATGATAAGACTGCACAGAGACCCATCGACCCACACAGAGACCCGTAGACTCACAGAAGACACATGGACTCACACAGTGACGTAAAGACTCACACCGAGACCCATAGCCTTCTTTGGTTCTTTCGATAGTCACGTAGAATGAGAATAAAAGAATAAATTGATAAAATAAAATAACACAATAAAATTCTCACGACGTTTCGGCCACATAGCCTTACTAAGACCTATAGAAACCCATAGGCTAACAGAGATCCAGACTCACACCTAAACTCTATGGCTCACGGACAGACCCAAAACCTCACAGAAGAGACACATTCTTACGTAGAAACCTCACAGATTCACACACAACAGCTTCATATTGGCCAGCGATGCTTTTCCACGTTTTCTTGCTGTGTGCCACATTCACATTTGGGGGCGGGATTGTTTTTGTTTGTTGTTGCTGCTATTTGTGGAAAAGGTGACGAGCAACCTACCCGTGGCCGGTTCGGCTAATGCGACGTTAAGGGGAAGGAGGAGGGGGGGCACAGTGAGCTTGAAACTCGAAAAGGTCAATATCTCTCGTTGGCGCAAACTGGTTCCAGTGACCATGGACTTGAGTTACGCTTAAGGTCGCAGTGGAGTAATAAGGTAGGGGGGGGGGGTTACGGCTGGAATGTTGTCGATTATGTTCGAGTTGCGGTGAAATTTCCGCTCAATATTAACACGGCCCAAGAGTGGTGGTTTGATGGTCTGCGTCTGGTTGATGGGATGAATTTGAGGTTTTAAAAAAAAAAACTTCACGATGATGGGTTCCCACCGTTTCAGCCGGAAATTTTACACGGGAGATCCGTGGCTGCGTGATCACAGCAGCAATACAAAGGCAAAAGAACCCCCCCATCAATATTGCAATACCTTAAGGGGGGTCCCTTAAGGGGGGGTGTCCCTTAAGGAATCCTGCCACAACTCACGAATTAACACAGTCCTACAATGCAGTAGAGAAAAAGTTGGATTTACATTGCCTCTAAAATGAGACCGCATCTCAAGTCGCTGTGCTGAAAACAGGGGGCATGTTTATTTTATTGAGGCCGCCACTGAAACGCACACTTACAAATATAGATCCATGCACTGTATCTACACCGAGACACAAAGAGTGACATAAAAACACACACACACACGTATACAGAGACCAAAGGACGTTCAAAGTACCGTAATCCAACGACTCGCACAGAGACGTAGAAGAATCACACAGACACCCAGCGTACTTGCATGGCATGATCGTATGCAGTAGAATGTGTTTATGATAGTCTCGAGGACTGCGACCGCATCTCAAAGACGCCGCAATCAAACATCCCACGACGGTGCTGTTACCGAGGGGGCTGTCAAGTCGCAGGCAAGGCACGAATGGGCGCAGGAGTCGACAGCAGACGTGGCTGGAGGAAAGGCAGTTTCAGACGAACGATACTTGATGACTGGAGATGCAGGTGCCTGCGTTTGCTTAGCTAGCGAGTGGAGTGGTGGGGTGACCGGACTCGTGTTCAGCGCTGCGCCCTGCTACGTGGCCGGTGCCTCTTGCTCGAAATCCAACGTGGACCTGTCCTCTCTCTTTGTGCGTCAAGTGCTGTGGCCCGCCGTATCAAAACACAATCTCTCTCTCTCACACACACACACAAAGTTACCTCTCGCTCGATCTGCTCCTTCTCCGAGCGTCTCAACAGCTCCGCCACTATCCAGGGCAGCATGGAGAGCGTGGCTCGCTGGTCGAGGGCAGTGCTGCCCAGGTAGGCAAGGCTGAAGGCGCGCTCGGCCACGCAGCCGCCCGCCTTGCTGCTCGGTGGGTGACTCTCTCCATCCACAGCGGTATCCACCACATCGGCCATACTTCCTCGCCGCTGCCAATTAGCCCCGTACCGCAATCCACACGCGTGGCTGCCCGCACTTCTCTCCCTCTCTCTCTCCCGCCGTGTGCTGCCCTTCCACCTCGGCCCCGCTGCCGGATGACAGCGGCAGTGGCTGGCTGCCCCAGTCACCGAGCTCCCATGCCTGGGTCCGGAGCGTGACACGTCTCTCTCCCCGCCGTGCCAGGCAAGGCAGGAGGAGGGGGAAGACCGGCAACGCAGGGAAGGGCGGTGAGGTATGGGGGACAGGCGGACGAGACGCGCAGAGAGGAGAGTCGGGGAGGTTGAGCAGTTAAGTACAAAGGGCAAACAGGGGAGCAGATCAGTAAATGGGCAGAGAGGGACTCGTACAGGGGGTAAGGTAGGTGGGTAGTTTGGGTAAGCAGGTAGGTCGGTAGGTCATCGGGCTGTTAGACGGGGCAGGCACGCGGGCGGGCAGAACGAGTCCGCGCGTTCCGCCGGGGACAGGAGCTGCGTGCCGACCGGTCCCGCCTGTCCGCCTCGCTATCTCCTCTGACTGAGTCCCCTCCTTGCAGCACCGAGTTACCCCCCCCCCACCACCACTGCTCCACTCCCCCCCACTGCTCCACTCCGCCCCGTGTTCCCAGGCACCCCTCTCCACTGATTCCACTCCGCCCCGTGTCTCCCAGATCCCCCAATGCTCCACTCCGCTCCGTGTCTCCCCGGGTCCCTCACTGCCAGATTCTGCTCCGTGCTCAGGTCCCCCACTGCTTCACTCCGTGTCTCCCAGGTCCCCACTGCTCCACTCCGCTCCGTGTTTCCCAGGTCTTCACTCCGCCCCGTGTCTCCCAGGTCCCCACTGCGCCCCGTGTCTCCCAGGTCCCCACTGCTCCACTCCGCTCCGTGTTTCCCAGGTCTTCACTCCGCCCCGTGTTTCCAAGGTCTTCACTCCGCCCTGTGTCTCCCAGGTCCCCACTGCTCCACTCCGCTCCGTGTGTCCCAGGTCTTAACGCCGCTCCGTGTCTCCCAGGTCTCCCACCGCTCAACTCCGCTCCGTGTCTCCCAGTTCCCCACTGCTTCACTCCGTTGCGCGTTCCCAGGTCCCCCACCGCTACACTCCGCTCCGTGTTTCCAGGTCCCCACTGCTCCACTCGGCTCCGTGGTCCCAGGTCTCCACTGCTCTCAGCCGCTCCGTGTTCCCAGGTCCCTACTGCTCCACTCCGCTCCGCGTTTCCCAGGTCCCTACTGCTCCACTCCGCTCCGCGTTACCCAGGTCCCCCACCGCTTCACGTTCCCAGGTCCCCACCGCTCCACTCCGCCCCGCATGCTTTCCACGCGCCTCTGGTAAGCGGCGTGGTGCGGACGGCGGCCATCTTACGTAGGGGAGGCGTGCGTGAATTGTATATTGCAAAAAATCACTACATTAACACGTTCGTCAATGATGAGGGTAATTTCCTTAACGTATACGTATGCTAATAAAAAATGGTCATCGGGAAACATTAAAAAAATCACTCTCGTTCAACTCCACGGTGTAAACAAAATCCAGCCTCCGACTTATTCTCCACTTTATTTATTTTTGGCCGGTCTATTTACATCCCACGAATAAGGTCCATTGCCCGAGACGTCGTCCGTTTTTGTTCCCCGAGTGCTCGTGACGGAGCCCTCGAGTTATAAAGTTTCTAAACCCTCCCGTGACGTCACACGCCGGGGGGGTTTAAATCTCCCCCCCCCCCCACCTAAGATGGCCGCGGCGCGCACAGCCACACCGGGGGAGGCGCGTCCAGCTCGAACACCATTGGCTCACGCTCCCCCACGTGACCCCCGCCGCAGCCTCGCCTTGTACGAGCGAGGAAATGCAAAATAAATTTTGATTTAAAGCTTTCGTGACTGCAGGGATTCATATTCTTGGTTCTTTCGGTAAAGTCACCACGTAGAAGGCAAACAATAAAATAATAAAAATGTTGTTTTATATTTTGAATAAAATACCGAAAGAACCAAGAATATAAATGCAAAATAGTTTAACACAGTGGGGCTTTAGCGGCCAAATGTTATCTTTCTTTAATAGAGGTGGGGTTTTGTTATTTGGTGGGGTATTAGATCGCGTAAAATACATGTGTGGCGTTAAGCCAGCCACCACACGATTTAGTAAGGTTTATCGCGTCAACAAAACGTGTCAATTGAGCTACTGGTACAGCAGCAATGCCGGTGTGCTGCAGAGTAAACCCACACACATTACGAATTGGGGGGGGGGCATGTTCTGTTTACGTGACATCTTCTTACCGAGTGGCCCGTGGCGGGTTTAGCGACACGTTTATATTTACGCGATCTAACATCCCCACCGCCCCCCTCCACCCCCCCCCCCCAAAAATATATAAACTTCTCTATTATGGCAAATACAAAACACTCTTTTGCGGTAGTTTAATAGTTTCATTCACGCCCCCCCCCCCCCCAAACTAGGTCGATTTGCTGAGCCGCAGAGGGCTTTGCTGTGGGTGACACTCAGCGCCATAAAAGAGGCCACGCTATTAAACTTCATGGATGCTATGTTGAACTTCGCACGGTTCGTGGTCAACCGTGCAAAATCTTTTGAGTTTTTCGGGGGAAGGACAACAAACTCAACACAAAAAAGCAGTCCGAAACAAATTCGTTTTCAGTCAAGATGATTTAAAAGGTCTCAGCGGTAACCTAATATCTGAAGGAAGAGCGTTCCAGACGGCCGCAGATGCGCAGCTATACCAATTGAGCGTTGTCAAACTCGCGTTCTGAAAAATAAACACAATTCATCGGCAAAACCGATAACACCGATCAGTAATATGTAACAATGCAATTTACCCGCAGTATCGTTCATTTTAAGAGATAAGTACTAATCTACGTGCCCGATAACGGAGAGTTGTCACTGCATTAGGCAGGGGCGTAACTAATCGCCAACGTTATCATTCACTTTCATCCAGCTGATGGAGATAATTGGGCTACATTGTTGCAATACGGGCTTTGGTCGAGCTTTGGATTCGAGGATAATCAATGTTTATTTGTTTTTCCTATTTGGTGAATGTAGCATCCTCTAGTGGCAGCACGTGGTAATTGAAACCGTGAGTACACGCACAAATGTATGTAAGTGTACGTATTCTATGTCAAAATACAATATACTCTTTGTTTTTTTCGGTAAAGTCACGTAGAATAATGAAATAAAATTACAAATTTTTTTTGTGAATTACAAATAAAATTTGTAATTTTATTTCATTATTATTTCTTATTTCTACGTGACTTATTATTTCTTATTTCTACGTGACTTTACCGAAAAAAACAGAGTAATTCCTGCAGTCACGAAAGCACCTAATCAAGTTAAAATACAATACTGTAGAGTAATCAATTCCTGTACTCACTTAGATAAATGACCGTGTATACGAATAATTTTAAACGAGTGTTAGTGAATATGAAACCCAAACTACTAATGTGCTCGCACCCACAATGAAACTGCATTTGAGATTTTAAGAAAGTATATTCCATATCAGTATAATATTACCTTCGTTCAAAGCGAAACTTGAATTTAAACAATACACACAGCCATTGTCAGGACTTACACAAGAACACACGAAAACTATGCACGCAATTTTTTGTTTGTGTTAAACAGGCTCCCGTAATTTAGATGGAGTGCTCTTGCCAATAGCATCTGGTAACCCAAGCAGTAATTGTTTAACAAGCCTGACCCTGTCGATGAGACGCAGAATATTGATAACGTTGCAGGGTTTGCTAACTTAAACACACCTGCTGAACAATTATGCTATGGGAAGCCAGTACAATATTAAGTTGGCACAGTGGTAACACTCGTGCGTACATCACACCAAGAAGCACCTGGGTTAGACTCCAGATTTGGACACCTCTTTGTGTAGTTTGCACGTTTTGTCCCTGTTCTTCACCGGTTTCCTTTGTGTTCTCTGGTGTCCTACCATATGTAAACAAAACAGAATGTCATTGGTGTGGTCCAAATAACTGAATGTAGCAGGACCCTCATGAAAATGAGTCTTCGGACTCAGTTTAGCTTTCCTGGGTAAATCTGGAATTGTATATTTTGAGACAGAACGGAGTTATGGTCATATACTGGAGCTGCTTTGTTTTTACAATTTCTAGAAATGTCTGTGTCGCCACCTGCTGATTAGTCTAGAAAATTTCAAGTGTTCAACAAAGCCTCCCGGCGATTAGATGAACTATGGCCATCTTCAATAATTTTCCTTTTAACAAAGAAGATATGTGGACACAATTGAACCCATTAAATGGTTTTGTATAACTGCACACTGGTCAATTTGTTTCTAAATGGTACTGACAAGCATTGTGTCGTATTTAAGCAGCTGAGCGAAAATGGACAGTTAACCTTATGACATTGGTGTATGTAAATGTATTCACAAATACCAAAAATACCCACATTCTTCAATAACACTGTGGCCTTAAATGAAAAGAATAGGCAACGGTGTTCGGCAATTGCCAACATTGGCCCAACGGTTCTAACCACATGCCACGCAAGGGAGACAACGTAATTTTGTTTTCCAATTTCACAACAGTCGCACACTCGCCACGAAGTGGCGGTAATGTGCACTTTACACACACTCTTTAAGTGAAACATTCAAGTAGTTAGCTAACTCAGGGTTAGCTAACTACTTGAACTTGCTTGAGTTAAGTGTGGGATTAAATTGTGGAAAAACATACACTTCACGTACAATTATCGTCAATCATGATCTATCCACGGCTGGATGAAAGCTCTTCATGCCGTGGCCATCTCTCACCGTCTTGTAATCCATATAAGTCACACACACACAACAATCTCTGCCACAGCTACTATGAATGCCATACAGTGAGGGAAAAAAGTATTTGATCCCCTGCTGATTTTGTACGTTTGCCCACTGACAAAGAAATGATCAGTCTATAATTTTAATGGTAGGTTTATTTGAACAGTGAGAGACAGAATAACAACAAAAAAATCCAGAAAAACGCATGTCAAAAATGTTATGAATTGATTTGCATTTTAATGAGGGAAATAAGTATTTTACCCCTCTGCAAAACATGACTTAGTACTTGGTGGCAAAACTCTTGTTGGCAATCACAGAGGTCAGACGTTTCTTGTAGTTGGCCACCAGGTTTGCACACATCTCAGGAGGGATTTTGTCCCACTCCTCTTTGCAGATCTTCTCCAAGTCATTAAGGTTTCGAGGCTGATGTTTGGCAACTCGAACCTTCAGCTCCCTCCACAGATTTTCTATGGGATTAAGGTCTGGAGACTGGCTAGGCCACTCCAGGACCTTAATGTGCTTCTTCTTGAGTCACTCTTTTGTTGCCTTGGCCGTGTGTTTTTGGTCATTGTCATGCTGGAAAACCCATTCACGACCCATTTTCAATGCCCTGGCTGAGGGAAGGAGGTTGTCACCCAAGATTTGACGGTACATGGCCCCGTCCATCGTCCCTTTGATGCGGTGAAGTTGTCTTGTCCCCTTAGCAGAAAAACACCCCCAAATCATAATATTTCCAGCTCCATGTTTGACGGTGGGGATGGTGTTCTTGGGGTCATAGGCAGCATTCCTCCTCCAACAAACACGGCGAGTTGAGTTGGTGCCAAAGAGCTCCATTTTGGTCTCATCTGACCACAACATCTTCTTTGGTTCTTTCGGTAAAGTCACGTAAAATGAGAATAAAATAATAAAATAAAACAACGAAATTCTCATGGTGAGAATTTTATTCTTTTATTTTCTTAAAATAATTTTATTAAAATAATTTTATTAAAGTAATAAAATAAAAAATAAAATTCTCATGGTGAGAATTTTATTGTTTTATTTTATTATTTTATTCTCATTCTACGTGACTTTACTGAAAGAACCAAAGAAGATGAATCCTTGCAGTCACGAAAGCTTTAAATCGAAATCTGACCACAACACTTTTGTTGTCCTCTGAATCATTCAGATGTTCATTGGCAAACGTCAGACGGGCATGTATATGTGCTTTCTTGAGCAGGGGGACCTTGCGAGCGCTGCAGGATTTCAGTCCTTCACGGCGTAGTGTATTACCAATTGTTTTCTTGGTGACTATGGTCCCATCTCCCTTGAGATCATTGACAAGATCCTCCCGTGTAGTTCTGGGATGATTCCTCACCGTTCTCATGATCATTGCAACTCCACGAGGTGAGATCTTGCATGGAGCCCCAGGCCGAGGGAGATTGACAGTTCTTTTGTGTTTCTTTCATTTGCGAATAATCGCAGCAACTGTTGTCACCTTCTCACCAAGCTGCTTGGCAATGGTCTTGTAGCCCATTCCAGCCTTGTGTAGGTCTACAATCTTGTCCCTGACATCCTTGGAGAGCTCTTTGGTCTTGGCCATGGTGGAGAGTTTGGAATCTGATTGATTGATTGCTTCTGTGGACAGGTGTCTTTTATACAGGTAACAAGCTGAGATTAGGAGCACTCCCTTTAAGAGTGTGCTCCTAATCTCAGCTCGTTACCTGTATAAAAGACACCTGGGAGCCAGAAATCTGTCTGATTGAGAAGGGGTCAAATACTTATTACCCTCATTAAAATGCAAATCAATTTATAACATTTTTGACATGCGTTTTTCTGGATTTTGTTGTTATTCTGTCCCTCACTGTTCAAATAAACCTACCATTAAAATTATAGACTGATTATTTCTTTGTCAGTGGGCAAACGTACAAAATCAGCAGGGGGTCAAATACTTTATCCCTCACTGTAACTAAGCTCCGTTATTTATGAGGCTGTGTGTACGGGCTAGTTACACGCATCAGTGACTGGATTTGTTGACAGTTTTTTATTTGTATGTAGGCGTTATTTTTAGTGTAAATAATTTGTGGTTGTTTTTGCTCAATGTCCTGTAAATTGCTGCCACTGTCGAGACAGTATTTGGGCTGTGGTCGTCCACGTAAACAGAGCTGCTTAGCTCAATGGAGCCCTTACCAGCTGCAATACAATCTTGAGTCACATTTCATTGCTCCGTCTCCACAATGGATGTGTTCTCGCGTGTGTTTATTCCTCCTTTGACTTTCACTCCATCATTAGTCTCGACCACCGTCCATCATCCACCTATCCGTTCTCACCACGACGTAACTTCTCAAATTCGTGGTTTTCATTTTCCTTTCTCTCGTAACTCCAAGCATCCACCTCCTCTTCACGTTCTAAAAGCGACAAAACTTTTTTTTTCCAGGTAAGGTCAACCGAGCTATGTAGCTTCTTTTCAGAAGCTCAACGAAATGGCTTATCACGTGGAAATCTATAACAGCAGCCAAATACTCCAAACGCTAGTTTGATTCATTCAACTTTCCACTTTTAGAAATGGGACCTTTTGCCAGTATCAAAGTATGAAAAAATAATAATTGGTATTTACCCTTTCTGGCAATAAAACAGGTGTTAAGATACTCTTTGGTTCTATTCGGTAAAGTCACGTAGGTAAAAAATAAAACAACAAAATCACGACAGCGTTGGAACTTCCAACAATGTCTTCGTGACAGCACGGCCCCCTTCACCTGATGAAGGCCACTTGTGTTGTGGCCGAAACGTCGTGATTTTTGTTGTTTTATTTTTTTACCTACGTGACTTTACCGAATAGAACCAAAGAGCATGGATCCTTGCAGTCACGAAAGCTTCAAATATAGAATGGAAGGTGTTAAGATGTTAAAATACCACAAAAAAGGTTTCTATTTGGCGTTTGAACATATTAACACCTGCTTTATTGCCAGAACAGGTCAAAACTATTCTCATTTTTTTATTTTTCCACTTTTCGTTTCACCTCCGTTCCTGCCCAGATTGCTGAGCCATGCCATAGCAGGTAACCCAGCAAACAGGCGCCGTTGGCAATCTCCTATCGCCGATCTGTTTGATGTAAGTAATCGATACAGCCGAATATTTCATCGGTTTAATCGATTAATCGATTAGCCCCCCCCCACCTCCCAACCCTACAACGTTGCAGGCAGGAGGCATCGATCGTCGATTCCGCGTCACTCCCTCCCCCCTCCCTCCTCCCCTTGATCACCGGAGGAGGCCATGGCGGAGCAGGCGGCCGAGCGGATCAACTCGGCGCGGGAGACGCTGGACAGTAGGAGTCCCCCACCTCCCCCTCCCCCGGGGGTCCCCTCCTCGGGCATCTTCCTTCCTCGTATCCCCTCGTCACCCGGGACCCCTGAAGAACCAACCCCCTTTGCCCCTAACCCCCCTCCCATCCCGCTGAGACCACCACCCCCGTGATCTATCGTTGTAGGCCTCAGACCACGGTCCTCGACTAGCGCGCGGCCGGGTTGCGAGGCGCCCAGGGCGGCCTGGGAGCTGGAAGCACGCGAGGCCGAGGCTTCGCGGCTCCGACTCCCTGGCGGCTGTTGTAATAATTGTACACGTACAATCTTGATTTGAAGCTTTCGTGACTGCAGAAATCCATACTCGTTGGTTCTTTCGGTAAAGAACACGTAAGTATAAAATTAAATTATATAAATCACGACGTTTCCATCGCGACACAAGCGGTCGAACTCAGGCGAAAAAAAATATAATCCAGCAGTGGAACTGGTTAATTTTATACCTACGTGACTTTACCGAAAGAACCAAAGAGTAATTGTACAAGTACATTGTGCAATTTGTGTAGCGGTTTTGAAATGCGATCGCAGGTCAGAACGCTGCGTGTTGGTAATGGATGTGTTTATTTTATAGACCGAAACGAGGCACAGTCCTCTACATACTCTTTGGTTTTATTCGGTAAAGTCACGTCGGTAAAAATAAAAGAAAACAATAAAAGGAAACGATTAAATCACGACGTTTCGGAGGCAACACAAGTCTCCTTAAGGTGGAACATGCCACCTTAAGAAGGAGACTTGAGTTGCCTCCGAAATGTCGTGATTTAATTGTTTTATTTTTACCTACGCGACTTTACCGAATAAAACCAAAGAGTATGAATCCTTGCAGTCACGAAAGCTTCAAATCTAGAAGTCCTCTACATGTTGAATGCTGCATATGGGTGTCTCTGTGTGTACCGTCGCTATGCTGAGAAACGGTGGGGGATGTTTGTTTTGTGGAGAGGCAGTCGTAGGCAGAGTGAAACAAAAATAAGTTATTGAGTCTGGACTTAAACAGGGACCAAGGAGTTAATACCTGTCAGCCCCTTGGCAGTGCCTTAGCTTATTACAGCCCAATTCAGACCTTATTGGGTCACCCCGTGTCCTTATAAATCTCCAACGTTCGTCCTACAAAGTCCCGTCACAAAGGAGAAACACAAACAGATATTCATAATAAAGGTTTTTGGGTTAGATCGCGTAAGTATAAATGTGTCGTAACCCTCCACCACCCGACACAGCCAGTGAGGTTTGTCACGTAAACAATGCGCCACTTAGTTACTACTTCAGTCCACCAGTGTGTTGGAGAGTAAATCCACATCTACATTTATCCTTAAGCGATGTAACCCAAAAACCTTTATTAGTAGTATTCGCAAAAGCCTATGTGTTAAAAGAACAAATAATATATATTTTTTGCCCGCATTGTAACGGCTGTACGCCGTATGGGCCTGAAAACTCAAATTTCCCTGTTCAAGAATACGGGTAAAGCGTATGGCTTGACAGGGTATGGGGAGTTGACAGCACTGAATGTAGGGGTCCAATGGAGTTCCACCAAAGCATGAGGCCAGCAGAGGAGAATGAGTGACCTCGCACTGAGCGACGGTGGACTGGTTCGACGGAAAGCCTCCGTTGCCGAAGCAAAGGTGGCGCGGAGTGAGAGGACAGCGGGGAGAGGTGGGACAGTGGGTGGTGAAGAGTGTGATGGGAGAGGATAGTGCGTTGAGGGGAGAGGAGTGAGATGAGAGGGGAGAGGTAGGATAGTGTGTGGAGGAGAGTGAGGTGAGAGGGGAGAGGTAGGATAGTGTGGAGGAGTGAGAGGGGAGAGGTAGGATAGAGCATGGAGGAGAGTGAGGTGAGAGGGGAGAGGTAGGATAGTGTGGAGGAGTGAGAGGGGAGAGGTAGGATAGTGTGTGGAGGAGAGTGAGGTGAGAAGGGAGAGGTAGGATAGAGCGTGGAGGAGAGTGAGGTGAGAAGGGAGAGGTAGGATAGAGCATGGAGGAGAGTGAGGTGAGAGGGGAGAGGTAGGATAGTGCGTGGAGGAGAGTGAGGTGAGAGAGGAGAGGTAGGATAGAGCATGGAGGAGAGGTGAGAGGGGAGAGGTAGGATAGTGCGTGGAAGGGAGTAGAGTGAAATGAGAGTAGTAGGAGAGTGCGTTGAGAGGAGAGTGGAAAGGTAGGAGAGTACGTGGAGGAGAGTAGGTTACGATGGGAGGGTTATCTACTGTTGCAGAAGAAAAGGTATCGTGAAGAGGCACTTCTGTTTGTTTCCGCTGAGGATTTGCTGTAACTGTTGCTCCTGTTTCTGAAGCGGACGGTCGTTACTCTGTCGTAGGCTAGATGGGAAAGTCCTCCTCCATACTGTGGAATAGAGGTCACTTGAATGGGACTTCAGAAGCAATCCTGCAATCTCTGCTTCTGTGGGCCGTCCTTTGACACTAAGAGTCACAGCGACCTGTGAGAGAGGCAACTGGATACTTGGTCTCGTGGCATGATGCCGATGGCAAAAATCAGAATAACGTTTTTGAAAATACGGTAATACTTTTTTTTATATGAACCCATTGGCAAAACTCTTAAAAGGTCTTCGTGAAATGTATATGATGACATCTGTAGGCATAGACTCATCACTGCTATAAAAACGTGGAATTTCAACCAGTGGCTCATGACCTCAAACTAGGGTGAGTCTATTCCCTTGGCAACCACGCTAGACTTAATATAAAGTGGTACAAATTTGATCAACCGTGAAAAGGCTTTTATGCAGGTTGACCTTCGAACGTGTGATTGAAATGCTCTCGCCACAGCTTCGCCTATAGATAGGCTTGTAACGATGCATTGATTTGTCAACTAAAGTCGATGCTTGCGTTCATGGTCCAGCATTTGAGTCGTGTGTGTAAATCATTTTCGAGGAGGGTACAAGAACACAGCGCAGATCATTACACATCCCCGGGTCTTTCTGAACAGGAGAGCTGTTGTATACTGGCAACTACACGTGTAAGATTAGATTTTTTATATACAAGGCTAATGGTACAAACGTAACTGTTTAAATGATACGGTAAAAGCGTGACAAACAAGTCAATATTTGAATCGAGTCAATTTGTGGAATCGCTGCAAGTGGGAGGAGGAAGGTAGGGGGGTGGGGGTTGTGAATCGATATGTGCTTAATGATCGATGTGGTCAGTGTACGGTTGATAGATTCGAGGTCAGCGTGTAGTTGACGTTTGGTCGGCTGTTTATCGGACATGCAGCTGTTGTCCCCGCGTGCGTTGTCTGCGTGCGTGTCTTGTGTGTACGTGCATGTCTACGTATTTATTCGTGTCTGCGTGTGTCTAAACGTATGTGTGTGCATGGCTGTGCATATCTGAATCTGTGTATTCATGTCTCCCATGTGTGCATGTGTCCTGCATGTGTGCATGCATGCCTACGTGCATGCGTAATGTCTCCGTCTGCATATGTCCATTCATGTCTATGGGTATGCGTGTATCTGTGTGTGTACATGTTTACATGTAAGTGTGTGTCCGTGCGTGCGCGTCTGTGTGTATCTGCATGTGGGGAGCGGTGGTGTAGCGGTTAGCGCGCTGCGCTACGAACATGGCGGCCCGAGTTAGATTCCTACTCACGACCAACATCATAGGCTTGCCAACAGTACTTATCCCAACAACAGTCTGTTACTGCTATACAGGATATATTTGTCTTTTTCATGTGCATCTTTGTGTTTCCCACACCTCCGATTTAGCACGGTTGTCTACTTACGGTGCGAAAGAAGTTCAACATACATACATCTGCCTATGCGTGCGTGTGTGTACGCGCGAGCGCCAATGTTCTCTCGACCCCCCTGCAGCGCTAATGGAGATGTCGCGGCTGCTCAACACGGGGCTGGACGCGGAGAGCCTGGCGGTGTGCGTGAGGCTGTGCGAGCAGGGAGTGAACCCCGAGGCTCTCGCCAGCGTCATCCGGGAATTGCGGCGCGAAGCTGAGGCACTGCGGGTCCGTGTGCAGCTCCACCACATGGGGACGGTGGGGGGGGGGGGGCGATGGTGTAGAGCAGTGGTTCTCGATCGGGGGTACGCGGGGACCCCCTGGCGGTTACGTGGCAATGTCCCAGGGGGATACGCGAGGCGATTTATAAATGTGTGAAATTACATCGTACGAGTCATTGGTAAATAATCACGTATGAATCTGCCAATTTCAAATAACTACGGTAACATTTAAATCCATATTGTAACCGAGAACGCAATAAAGACCTTTCTAAACTCATTGATTGTAAAGAATGTGGTTTTCAGGAGTAACCAGCGAGCGCGAACAAATTACGTCGCGCATGCTGAGCGTCCTTGGATTTTTTTTCGTATTCGCTTGCAGTTACGAGCTAGTTAGGATACCTCACAAAATGGACAATTGGTTAAAATATTGACGTTCATTATTCACACATTTATTTATCAGAAACCATGTTGGGTCACGCAAGGGGGTATTCGGTTAAAACTAAATTCAACAAGGGGTACGGGAGCCAAAAAAAGGTCGAGAACTACCGGTGTAGACGCAACGGGGCAGGGCATGTGAACTGAACTTTTCACCTTAAAGCGGATTCTTAGGGGGGCGGTAGCGTGGTGCAGAAGTAACACTGGTGACTCGACAGCAAGAAGGGCCTGCGTTCGATTCCGACTCGGGTGCCTTTCTGCGTTGAGTTTGCATGTTCCTCCCGTGGTCTTCATTGGGTTTCCTCCGCGTTTTCCGGTTTCCTCCCGTAGCTAAAAAAAGACATACAATGTAACGGGTACGTATATAGATTTCAGGTTTTCCGCAGCCTTGCTTAAAATAACATGTTCAACTTGATTCATATCCGAATGAAGTGTAAAAAAAAATGTTATTCCAACTAAGGTTGGACAAACACCCTAACTCAATTGGGATTACACAAAGCAACATCGTCCCCGACTACAAAGCAACTTTGCAGGATCCTCCTGAAAACGAGTCTTGAGACTCTTATTAGGCTGTGAATATTTGATTATTGCCTTCGACCACATCATCCGGAATGGACACCCGACAAAGAACATTTAAAAGCTGAAAAGTGTGAAAATAGAGTACGGAGGGGGTGCACATTTGGAATCGCATTGAGAGATGGAGTAACTCACGCATTAGGGGGCACACGCAAGTTTGGATCATTGTATTGACCATTGTGGAGGTGCAGCTATCAAATCCACTGTTATGCAAGTGGTAGACGACTTATTGTTACTTTGCAAGAAATGGTGATGGATTGGCGAGGCTGTCATCCAAATGTTGTTCCTTTCCCCCCCGCTTATTCTGTCAATGTATGTATTTCCGATCTCGTATCGCTCCTAAGGGCCACGTATATTGATCATTGCTGACACCATCTGCCAATGTGCTTGTCCAGGAATCGAATTGGGTTTTCCTGAATTGTTAGGCAGCACATGGATCACTACAACACCCACCACTCCCCTTTACTATACGCTGCGCCGTCCTCACTCCATATCCCACCTCACCGCAGTAAATGAACGATAAATCATTCTTGTGATCATCGGCCGTGGTCAATCCACTGCTGGACTAAGGTATCCCCAAGTTGCTGCCACCTCTCGTGATCTTTTGATGTAACAATCCAGCTAGCTTTGGCACACAGACGTCTTGATTTCATCGCTCCATCTCCTCGGCGTCTTCTCAGATCAACGCTGCCCAATAATCCTCGGTGTGCGAACATGCGTCAATTTAGATTGGAGCTCACTCCACCACTTCTACGAATAATAACGATAAAAATACAATAACCCCCACTCACCCTCTGTCTGCGTTAACCTCCAGGGGTCACTTCCACTGCAGCGAGAATGACCACTTCATTATAAATTATGACGCTTGTAATTGGTTTATCCGTGCATTGATTCCTACTGTACATGCAGTCCACACAGCACTAAATTGCATCAATTGCTGATTACGGGGAAAAAATAAAAACTGCGGGGAGAGGGGAAAAAAAACAAGGACATTAGCATTCACTTGGTGCAGCTTGGCATTGGCCATTGCCCCTGGGGATGTAGGGTGGAGCTTTAGGCTTTGAGTAGCCTTCCCTTCATTTTATAAATTCCACCCCCCCCCCAATGTAATCCAGATTGTGCTATCGGTGTCGCGTTGTCATGGGACGCAGAATTCATTGGGTTCTCTCGCAAAGCAGTGTGACCCTTTGTATTGGAGAACGGCCCACGCAAGTGGATATTGAAGAGCTACCTCCGAGATTACTTCAAGTGACCTCTGGGGCTCGCAGTAGAGGGCAACACTATCTCACCCACCCCCCCAGCCACCGATGTTTTTCACATGAGAGTCAAAACCTAGATTTTAAATTCTCGGAGCTGTCGTAGTCATTGGTGAAGCAGAGCTGATTCCTATTCTTGGTTCTTTCGGTAAAGTCACGTAGAAGGTTTTCACACCTGATGATGATTGCTTGTGTTGCAGTCGAAACGTCGTGAGAATTGTATTGTTTTATATTTTTATTATTTTATTGTTTCCCTTCTACGTGACTTTACCGAAAGAACCAAGAATATGAATCCCTGCAGTCACAAAAGCTTTAAATAAAAATTTAGAGCTGATTCCATCAACTCGCCACACTTCAGAATCCAGTTCAAATCGGAAGCGGCCGAAACCCACATTCCAACTCGGGATCTCATCGTTGCTGGCTCAGCACCCTACCTATGAACCCGCTGGGCCACCTCATTTTCCTTACCTTCCTACGGGATTGTTCATCTTCTGTCTTCTGCTCATTGCATGACGACCGCTTGTAATCGTATCACGGGCACGGTTTGGTATTTGCGTAATTTCGTTTTAGCGCAATAAGGTGCTAATGTTTCACAGACGAGTTTAGTTTCACTCGGGGGGGGGGCGGGGGGGAGATGTTGCCACGTGGCTATTATTTAATTTGACATTTTACGAGTACGTTTTTCAAATTCAGACACCTGCTCACGTGGCCTGCTCCTTGTAAAATAACGTCACCCGGTGTTTTAACGTCCACTGCGAGTCGCGCGTCGCGTATTTTCCGGTTAACGCCCACCGCAGTATTAATCGGGGCAGCCGCCGGGCTCTTGGGCCCTATCGCCGCTTGGTTTTTAAAGCCCCTTTGGTGTGGGTGTGCCGTGACCCACAGGCTGCGGAGAACACCGTGGGTGGGAGGCCCGGGTGAAAATCACCGCAGCGAGAAAACCCCAGGGGGAACTTGACGGTGCCTGCTCCATTTCACCCCCACCCGTCGACCGCGATGAATCCATGACCTCTCCACACAAGACGCTGCGTGCACGTTGTGTTGCGGGTTGCTTCAAACTCCAGTCCTCGTGACCCACCACAGTTCCTTGTTCAGCGATCTTCTCTGTTCAAAGGCAACCCGTGTCCCTTACATGCTGCACGAGCCCAATAATTGCTAAACGGTAGTCACCATGTAACGTAGAGAGCGCTTCTTAATCGGCATGCTTCATATTTTGATAGGGCACGACCAAAGATCCTCCGCATAGCCTGTAAACAAACTCGTGAGGTAAGTGCTGCTCGCGAGCACTTCTGAAGACTGGCACGGCACGCGAGGAGATGGGTGGCCGGTTCCAAGCCCGACCACTTTTACCTCCCCTGGGCTGATATCATACTGCACTAGCTACTAATTTAAGGCTGAGTCAAACTGAAGGAGGCCCAGGATCTTTGAGATATAATGTGGAACACATGTATACACACACTTGAGACCTGGCTCTTATTTTGAATGTGACGGACATGCACACACCTCTGATTTTGAATTGGCAGTCTCTACATCACGTGTGACAACAAGAACGACAACAGTCATTACTGGCGTCACCTTGCCGCTCGTGCCGCTATATAAATGCGAAGTGTGGAAGGCGTCGCTGGCAGGAAGTAACACGGGACAGACCCAGGTGTTATTGGTTACTTGACTGAGGTGCCTTGCACCTTTGCTCCCCACGCCGCTCCCCACACCGTTCCCGACTTGTCGTGTGATGCACAGATCTTAATTTGAACGGGCCCTCTTGCGCGTCCCACGGAATGCATTTTCTCAGTCACCGGGCTCCTTCGTGCAGCTCGTAACCTCTCGGAATTTTGTTGCAACGGTGTGACACCGGTACACTTGCAAAGAAGTGCCGTGCTGGGTCACGGGGACTGGTAGTTTCGGGGGAAGGGGGGGTGAGGGGGGGGGAACCCTGGACTTGGTGATTTCCATAGCACACTTTGAGCACAGCTTGCATAAATCCTGCACGTTCACTCCCTTGCGCACACGGCGGTATCAGCAGCAGCAGCTGTTCCATGCCCGTGACAGCCTGGGAGGGAGTCGCCCACCTTTTGTCGTGCTGTTCTAGCTGGCAATTTCCTCCCTAACAATGTCACCCGCGAGTACGTTCCGCGATGGGTTTTGATGTCGCGTGTTTGTAAATAAAAGCCCGTTTCTACTTACGCGGTCATTTGCAAATGTTTTTTTTATGTATAATGTTTCGCCGCAATTATATTTTAATTGCACCGCCGCGGTCGCGTGGCTAGGTGACAATCTTCGTTCGGAACTCTTCCCAGCGAGCAGTGCACCACCCTGCCCTCCTCCCGGTGTGCACAGCCTTCGAAGATGGATGCCTCGGAGCGAACTGTTTCTGACTTCACTGAAATTGGCCTCTCGGTCCGCACCAGGAATCGTCATCAGCCATGATCACTCCACTGCTGCATGATGGCCTCACCCCCATGCCGTCCGCCATCTCTCACAGTTGCTGCGATGTAACAGTCCGTCGAGCACCGGCACCACGAGCAGATTTGACCGAGAGATGGTGATGGGTTGGGGGACACCATGCATCAGTGGATAGATCATGGCTGATGATGAGTAGATGTGTCATGGCACATCGATTCAACGAGTAATCGATATTTTTACTCATGACGATTTACGTACAATTGATTTTTTTATTTGGATGTTAGATATGGTTTCAGATGACCCCCCCCCCCCAGCTGCAAGAGACCGCTATACTCATGTATTTTTTTACATCGCTTATTAAATTGACCCTGAATCACAACAATGAATTGAATCCTAGCAGGAGTTTGTTATAAGTGTCTGTTGTTGAAACATTTGGATTTACCCTTATAGTCATATTGTAAAGGTACCCAATGGTCATCAGATTTCACAAGCTAAGCAAGGCCGGGCCTGCATATTGCTTTAATGGGTGACTGCCATGCGTTGCAGGTGTTTCGGCTTCTGGGCTATTATTAGGCAGGCGAGAGGACATTAAACTCCATTTAACGTCTATGCCCCCCTCCCACGTCCCCCCCCCCACCTTTAACCCACACTAGCATGGTGAAATAGGGTCAAACAACCCCACATGACCCGGCACATGGAGAGTGAGAATGATTCTCTGACCTGCAGTGACCACCATCTGCCACTAGGGGGCGGACTCCACAAGTCAGCGCGAGCCGTGAACGCCCCGGAGCGGCCCATTGAACTGCAGCGAGGGATTTTGTTTTATTGGCCAAGGAGCGGCACTCGGTTTGGGGGCAGAGATGAATCAATGACTTGGCTGGAAAGTTTGCCAAGTCTCAAGCCTCGCTGAGTCTCAAGACTTTTTCTTCCGCTGCTGCATGGAGGGGCGATGTGGTCATGTATAATGGTCACTACAACGAATATCATTTTTTTTAATAAGTCGACTAAATCTTTATTTTATGTGCCAATACCGCCCTAAATAAAGTAAGTATCAGTGCACATTACAGCAGAACGGGAACGGTACAGGGACCTAGAGAAACAGGGCAGCCGACTGTCCTGTGAATGACACTCTTCACCGTCAAAGGAATGTGGAATTTCCATCAACCGCTCATTGGTGTGTGAGAGCCCATTGAGACACCTGTGTATGTTTCTGTCTTAGCGGTAGAAAGAGGGGACATGTGGATTACATCATAATCACAAGTTAGAGACGACATGACTGCCGGGACGAGTAAGTCAGAATCCGAATCTTATTTATCCTGGAGGAATCCGATGAGCTATGATGCTCTTTTTTCGCAGATGTCCAGCGTCATCAGCAGCAGCATCGGCGTCATCATAATCATCATCATGTGTACTGATGCCTACTTTGTTGAAGGCGACATTGGCATTGATAAAATACAAATTGAACGGTTGGTCATGACAATCATCATCATCAACAGCAGCATCATCTTGACAATCATCATCAGCAGCAGCAGGGGTGCATTTCAAGTTGGGAGCACACTGGCGTTGGAAGTGATGACGGCCCGCGGTTGAGACTACCAAAGGAGTGGCAGCCAAAGGATGGAGGTGGTCACACTGCCGTGCAGTGGGCTTGAGCAGGGACGAGAGCAATGACGGAGTAACAGCCAACAAAGGAGGTAACGTGCCCAGAGAGGACGTCCACCGCGGAGACGCAGTGGGATCCGAGGATGGAATTGCGCATTAGAAATTGAAATCATTATTAATGATCTCGTACAAAGGTGCCGGATGGGCCGTTCGTCACACCGTCGGACCGGGAGACAGCAACGTCTTGGGGGGAGGCCTTCATTCAGCAGTGGATAGATCACGTCTGACGATGGTTACGATGGTGGTGGAAAGGATCTGCACGGAGGAGGAGACGTATGGATGAATGTGCCGTGTTCGCCAGATTACAAGGGACGCTCCAGAAAGTAAGACGCGCAGCACACGTGCGCCCCGTGTCAATGCAGCTCTACAAATATAATCACACGCACTATTATCGGATTATAATACGCACCCCCCCCCCCAAATTTTTTTTTTGTTCAAAATACAGGGGAAAGGTTGAGGAGGAGGGGGGCGATGGAAGTGCTCTCTTATAGTGGGGTCGGGGGGGGGATATGGAATGTGGGCTGCTGCTGATGATGAGGAGGAGGTGCTGGAGGGAGGGGACGAGATGGATGCGAATCGGGGTGGTCTCGCATCTCATTGCTTCGCCTCTTATCGGCCACTTTGACAGCCGAGAGCCGTGATGTCAGCAGGGGGTGGGGGTCGTGGGGGGGTGTTGATGGTGGGGGGGGGGGATACACCCCTGTAGTATCAGGGGGATGAATGACGATGACTCCCCCCTTGCTTTTTTAAGGCTTGCCCCCTCTCTCCCCCCCTCTTCTGAATTCTTATCGTAAAGTCAAAACTATTAGTGTATTTAAACTAAACACAGTTTTTTTTACTTTTCCAGGTAAAGCCCACTGAGCTATACTGTATAGCAGTTTTGTTTTATTTTCAGAAGCGACCTACCCACAAATGATCGCTCAACGAAGTGGCTTTTATCAAGTGGACATTCATAGCAGTCACAATACTCTTAAACGCACGTTTCTAAATGCGGAGGGCAACACCCGGAGAAAAGTAACCGACGGGCGTCTCAGCCTCCAATGAGCCCTGAATGAGCTACGCTCATAAAGAGGGAGGGGTCCGGTGCTCGCAGAGGGCGGGGCTAGTGGCGGAGTGGGCGTGGCTATGTATTAAGTGGGCGGGGTTCGTGGAGGGAGGGAGGGAAGGGGCTGCTTGCTCAACCCACGTGTCGTCTATTTAAGACTGAAACAGGAGGATTTATCCACAAGTCCTGTTGTCGCCTGATGATGATGGTTGTCATTACCGGCGAAACGTCGTACTCGAATTGTAAATGTCGTGGGTTTACGTGACAAACCTTACCAATTGGCTGTCGGGTAGTGGCGGGATTAACGACACACTTACATTTACGTGATTCGACCCAAAACACCTCCGTTATGGATAATATTGGTCGCGAAAGCCCACGTGTTAAACTCCCATGTCCTGGGTTGAGCCTCTCAGAAATGGTGCAGCAGGTATCCGCATCTGTGGTGCATCGGCCAGTCATCTCAGTCGACCCGTGGCACCACCTGGGTCTGTCCCGTGACCTCCTGCATAGCGGGCGTTCGACACTTTGCGTGGCCTTAAGGTGCACATGGCGAGTGACTTAAGGTGCACAGCAGCGAGTGACATCCGAACCGGTCCTGGGCCTCTCCTCCTTTCATCAACCCTCACTGACCAGCGTGGTGAAGTACGGTCAAACAAATCCACATTACTGACACAGCGTGGGGAGGACTTCGTCTGTGAATTATGATTATTATTATTTTAACCTCTCGGTCAAGCGGGTGTGGTGATGCACACCTGTGATCCAACGCGTAGGATGCAAGGGTTGGTGGATCACGTAGAGATAGATGTGTGACTCCTAAAACCCGTCATACAACAGTAAAGAGAGAGAAAGCTGCTAAACCATCTGTGTCGCCTATACATTTCAAAAGTCATGTCCTCTCTCCGTACGCATGGCGACTTTGCTGCGTGTACTCCGATTCTCCTGCCACGTGGAGCCAAAATACTAAGCTAAAAATGTTTCAGCAGGTAAGGCCCACTGGGCCTGTGACGTTTATTTTTCAGAAACGATCTGGCCACAAATGATAACTCAATGGCTTATCGCGTGGACATTTATTGCAACCAAATACTCTAAACGCACTTTTCGAAACGTGGAGGGGGAAAAAAACCCCAGGAGTGCCCGGAGAAGAATCCACACGGCCACGGGGAGATCGCGCGAACTCCAAATGCAGAGCAGGCGTCAGGCTCGGCATCGAACCCATGAAACCTCCGGTATACAAGGAGAGGAACTTAACATCTCGCCACCCCGGCGCCTATCAATAACAAACAAAAACAACGACTCGGTCAAACGTCCCAATGTGGCAGGACCCTCCTGAAAGAGAGTCTTGAGACTCAGCTGCGCTTTCCAGCGTGAATATTGTCGCAGCAATTGGTTTCGCCGCCTCCGCCGTCGTTGCTGCTGTCCAGCTTCCGGCTTCTCCGCCCGATTGGCCGACGTTTTTTTTTAATCTACACTGTTCCCGAAGAAGCTCCCAGCACGTGTTGCGAGACGTCGGACGTCGTGCTCAACAGCAACATTCGGCAACAACTTGAATACGAGATTACACTCTTGTGTGATTATTCGTCGTACTGTAGTGGGAGTAGTATTGTCGAACACGTGTTGAGGTTAAGCCGTCACTAACGCTGGCGTAATTGTGAAATGTGTCGACCTAAAACTTACACTTACGGAAGCATTATGTCTGCAAAAGTCAATTTGAAAAGTAATCATTATAGAACAGCTTCAGAACAAAGTAGAAAATCTCTGGGTGGTGCACGGGCAAATGAACATTTATAGGAAACGTCACCGGTACGTCTGTGAGTCAGACTCTCTCACTGCAGCTTCATTAGTTCGGCGTGTGGCGAGATGTTAACTACCTCGCCTGGTATACAGGAGGTCGTGGGTTCAATCCTGACCCTGATGCCTGCTGCTGCATATTTGGAGTTTGTGGTCTGGATTTTTCTCCGGATCCTCCGGTTTTTTCCCTCCACATTTAGAAACGTGTGTTTAGAGTATGCGGTTGCTATACATTTATACAAGATAAGCCGCTTCGTTGAGCTATAATTTGTGGCCAGGTCGCTT